CCCACACCCCACACCCACACCCACACCCACTCTGTTTATAGATATATGCGCCTTTGCCTGCTTATTTTGAGTTTCCTCTAGATGGTTTTTCCATTGTAAATCTTGTAATTGTTTTGAGTTAGCGAAACACTATTAAATTTGGTTGTGAATACAATAGAATGAACTTATGTGGAAGTAGACTTCAACATGGGTGCGATTAGTCGTTCATTTCCGAAGTCAACTGCAGCTATGCTTGAGAATAGATGGGTATGAAATCTAACATGTCTTTTGAGAACACTCCACCAAGTTTCCGTTAATGAAGAATTCCAGTCTAACGAAGTTTTTATAGCAAGATCGGAAAAACAAAGATATTAAATATAGTTCACAACAAAATCTGCTCTTTTCAGAATTTTCTGTCGAGATTTCTTCTATTTTTTTCTAAGAGACATATACCTATGCGTAATGCTTCGCCTCTCTATCGTTATGATGAACCATGTCCATCACGTTTAATTTTCTATGATTCTGCCTATTAGAAAATAAATGGTAGAAGCCTCTACATTTCGACTCTAGTTTCTCTCACGCTTTTCTTTGAAAATGCATCTGAGCTCTACAAAGAGACTTTCGAATGAGAAGTTGCACTTAAACATGGAAGCAGCTTGCCGTGCATAGTGCTCTAGAAGAGCTCTGACGAACGACTAGTCGAGGATTCTAAAAGTTGATCAATAATGTTCTTAGTGAAAGCTCGTAAGAAGCCTACCGCGCTTTTCGAGAGAATTCTGACAAGACTCCGTTAACGAGAAATTTTGATATAACGTCTATTTCCAAGAATGGCCATGAAATTACAACTGTGAACAGTGATTTACAACAAAATCTCATTTATTGGAAATATTCATAGAAAATTATGCTATGATAAATTGAAGAAGATTTCGGAAGAAGCCAAAAGAGTAGCTATTAAATAGTAAATGAAAAAGTATTATCAATAGAGAAAATTACACTTAAGTATGGGAGCAGCTAGCCGCTAATTGGAAAACTTCAGGAAAAGTACGCTTCAGGCAGAACAATTGCCAACCAATCGAGTTCAATCGGTTGAAATATTGTCCTCAATCAGCAAAAAACGAAAAATAATTTTCTTTCAAATTATTTGTGCGAAAGAATTTTTCTCGATATGTATAATATTCTTAACGTATGTTTGGCGAAAAGCGTTACTTACGGAATTTTCATTGTAATGGCATTCGTGTAGAAAAAAGCAGATGCCTTGTAGCTGAATCTCAAAAGATAATAATTGTGAAAATTGGATTGTGGATTACCGGTATGCAGAAGTAACATTGTTTTCCTTTATGCTTATTGTAAGAAGGAACATTAGACAACAAATAAAAAGATTAACATTTCGAATTCTCCTATGCTAGAACATCAATATTGAACCTCTTGAAACACACCAGAAAACGTTTAGTTTTAGGATGTTGCTTGATCCTCTCTACTGTTTTATTATTTGTGAGTCTGAAATCCACCACAACTATTCATCATCAGATCTAAATCTGAATCATATAAAAGTTTTATTTTAAACCCGCATTGGAAAGTATTACACTCTATGAAGTTAGGTGATACGCATAGAACTTAATTCTATAGGCACAATCTGTGTCATTAAGCAAACAAAACACTTTGGAAGTCATGTTGAGCTCTTATGTATGAAAAACGATTAAGGCTCTGAAACTATTGAAGGTGATAGAATTCTAATGGATAATCTGAGCGATAATATGTTCTAATTTATTTTGTTTCTATCTTTCACTTGTGGAGAACAAACAATCTCTAGACATTCCAGATTACTCAATCGTATATTTGTTTTTCAAGAATAATCAGAATAAATATAATGAATTCAGTCGAGGGTCAAATGAGTCGTACCGACAAACGTTACTTGTTTATTTTCAAATATCTAACAGAAATTTTATCTTTAATTGTTTTTCTCGGCGCTCTATTGTCGATTCGGTTGTTGCTATTCGTTCATTATTTATATTCTTGTTTTTATTTTGTTTATTTTTTTATTTTGCCATTATTTTTATTTCTCTAATTATTGATTTAACCGAAAAAGCTAAATTAATCTGTTCATATCTTATAACAACTCTTCATTATTGTCATTGTTTGATCGACGTGCTGGTCGATTTTTTTCGTTTTTATTGTCGTACTTAATGCATATATTCGTTTATATTTCCCTATTGCTTTCGTTCTCGACATGGAGTGTACGTTCTCGATTTAATTTTGCTGGATGTTGTTGACGCATTAACAAAACTTTCGTTATCATATCCATTACTAATGAATTAATAATAAGTTTTGTTTGTTATCCTTTATTACAATTATTATTTATATTATTCATTATAATTTATTATCATAAAATGCAACTAATATAAATAATTTGACAAATATATAATGAATAATTGGACGCAGTCAATTTCTATATCGCGCCTGTCGGTAATCAAGGACAACTGTTTGTAATGGGGTGTCTGTAATGGGAGTAGGGGAAGTGGGAAAACTTCGACTTAAAACTTACACTCACCATTTTTCTTCGTAAAATATGTGAATTCCACAAAATCAGCTTCAGAGAAGTCAAAATTGATTAAAAATCAATTATAATCATACGACTTTAATCACTAATTTAAGGAATAATAATCATAGCAAAATCAGGTTTTAATCGATTATTTCAATTATTCTGATTATAATCGATTTAGAATATTTTTAAAAACCGATTATAATCAGAATAATTGAAATAATCGATTAAAACCTGATTTTGCTATGATTATTACTCCTTAAATTATTGATTAAAATCGTATGATTATAATCGATTTTTAATCGGTTTTTGAAATCGGTTTCTTACATTGGTTTCATCGTCATTATTTCATACTTTCAGATAATAAAACAAGTATTAACTAGCGTGTTTATATCATCAAAAGCAGGAGAAAACCATTGATAATAATGGCCAGTGCATCACCCTTACCCTCGAATTCTCTAAAAACAATCGAGTGGATGTGGCAATCGAATCCAAACCCATGGTCAAAAACCGAGCTACCCACATGGAGTCATTATTCCGATGTTGAAAATCTAATTATCGAAAGAGCATTCTCAAACAATCAACGACAAGCGATCTTGGATGATTATTATATTGATTTCGAAGATAATCTACAGATATCTAATACAGATAGCAACAAACAAAGACGTGTGAAAAGAGTGGTGCGCAAGAGAGAAGATAAACATTTGAGAGAAGAACGTTTTATGGATCTTCCTGTTGCTTCGGGTCGTTCGTTTGGTGGTCAATATGGTTGGATATCGCCATTTGTTATGGAAGTCAGAAATGACTTAGATCTTCAACTGAATGAACTTCCTTCTAAAAACTCAGATATGATCCCTGTGCTTGTCCAAAAAGCTGCAGAAGGTATTATTAAAGAAGGTCAGTATATTGGAAGACAACGAGAAGCTGAAGAATTGGCTAATATCCTTCGAGAAAAAAAGTACAAGGGAGTGCTAGAAGTGTGGCAATGCTGCGTTTACCTGTACTCGTTGGAATGCTTCCTGTACAAAACTTTGAACGCAGCGATGAGATTAGTTGGAAGCAAAGAGGATGAACAGATCTGGCGGAGTAAAGTTCGGACATTGGGTCCGTTTTGTTTATTGCTTTGGGATGATCCATTGAATAAAACAATGAAAACCGACATAGAAATATATCGAGGAGCCAATTTGAAACCTGAACAGATTGCTACTTATAAAGAAATGGCCAAGTATGAAAACAGATATGGGTCGTTTCAAGGATTTTCATCGTGTAGTCACAATCGTAAAAAAGCAGAACAGTTCGGAAATACGTTGTTCATCATGAAAGTATTGTTTGCTTTTACCGCTGATCTTCGTGGATTGTCCGAATACCCTGATGAGGAGGAAGAACTTGTCACACCAGGCGTTTGTTTTCGTGTTCTACATGTTGAATTCGATCGCAAGGCAAACAGACATTTAATCTATTTGGAATTAAGACAACGTTGGTGTAGTAAGTAGAAAAAAATCTCTTCCAAGGTGTGTTATAATATGACAAGCGTTTTGCCTAAATATTTCTTGCTCGTTGGATATGCCATATTGAAATGACACCCGTAAACGACGTTCTGACTTCGTGATATCAATGTTTCTAAATCCCATCTAACACGATTATCCATAAATAATTAATTAATTGACTATTTTCCTCTGATAATGTAAGTTTAAAAGAGAAAGAAAAAAAAAATTGATACAAATGACGGGGTCGTATAAGCAATGGAAAATGGGTCACTATGGAGCTATAAACAATTTATTGGTAATTCTTTCTATGGAAGTGAGACGGGTTTTATTGAAGCAAATTATTGAAGTAAAACTATGCATATTGAAGCTTGTCTTCGAATGAAAATATTGTGAAATATCATATAGGGTTTTAGGGCAGAGTTATAACCGGTCCGGCCGAACCGGCCTGGTAGAAATCATTAGATTGGCCGGTCTTCGCCGGTTTTTGCTAGTCTAGAACAACTGCATAAATATATCGATTTTCTCCTGATAAAATGCCTTGAGAACAAATTGTATCGCTTTTATCGGAACGGAAAATAGAGTTGTTTCAAAATATGATTTTGTATACTTTTTGTGCGTCATCACTATTATAATTTCTTTAATTAAAGATTTTCTACTGCATACCAAGCACAATCAAAACTGTTATCAAGACTACACTTTTTGATTTCGTGCATTGATGATTGAGAGAGATCAGACTTAAATTTCACTTTTATTCACAAAAACACATTAGATTCTTCTGAAGAATATGAGTAAGAAAAATAATAACTTAAAATTTAGAATCGGATTTCGAGTATATAAACCATTTTTTTCTGTATCGAACATGTAACATTTATACAACTTTCTGAGAGCTGACAGATTGAAACAACTAGAATATGGCATTCCTTTCCAAAAAAATCGAAAAAACTGAGCAAAAAGAAGAAAAACAATGCTTTTTCGAAGATACTGATTTTAATCGGTGAAAATAATTTAATAAACCGGCCGGTTTTTACCAACTTGCAAGATCTGAAGAACGGGTCGGTCTAAAATTTAGACCGATCGGACTGTTCTGGTTACAACTCTTGTTCAGCTCCCTAAAGAGTAAAAAAAATTATTTCAGAGTTTCGAACATAAAAACTTATTGTCCATCGAAGCAAGTCTTCAGGAATAACGAGATTAATGTGATCATGTGTCTTATTTAATGTATCTGAAATTCATAAGAACCGAAAAGATACCCGAGTACTTTTCGCTAATGAAAATAGCAAGTTTACGTACTACATACATTAAGAAAATTGTGAAAGCACTTAGCAAGTATTGTCAGAAGATTTACCACGACTAACAATAAAAGATGAACTTCACTAAAGATCGAGTGTTGCTCATAATCTCAAGTATACAGCTCATACACAATCCTATATTCTAAAAACATTCGAAGACGTTCGATTTCTGCCACTCTTCCCATCGTTGATTGTATAAGAATGGATTACAGATGAAT